TTGTCTAATTTCTTTAATTAGATTTAATTTGACATTCTTTAATTCAATTAATTCTTCTAATTAATTTTGTTTCATTTCTCCCTTTTACACTACTTTCAACCACTCGCAAATATACAGCTGTCCAATGTGTTTTACCTGTTATATCTGCAGCCCACTTGGCAGGTTAACAGACCCTGCATTTTCCACTGCTGCCCAGTCCAGATGTCTCTTGTGGATCCTCTGACCTCACCAGGAGCCAAACGTCCCCTTAGTTAGCCGGATGTCTGGCCTTCTGGCTCGGAGGTACAATGTACATTACTAATTTGAAGGTGCAAAATTCCAAATTGATTAAGGATACAAGTCTACTTGACCACCACTGCATCTTTAGATATGAGTATCTGAATTAATAGTCAGGGTGTTGTTATTAGTAGTATGAGGGAAATTTGGTCGGTCAGGCCAGGTGTTCACTGGATCAAGCATTTGTGCATGAAAGTTACTTTAATAATAATCTAATAAAAGCAATGAAAAAGTTTACCTTGAACTTTTAAATATAATTAAATGGGGAAACATTTTTGCTTTGTCTAATTTCTTTAATTAGATTTAATTTGACATTCTTTAATTAAATTAATTCTTCTAATTAATTTTGTTTCATTTCTCCCTTTTACACTACTTTCAACCACTCGCAAATATACAACTGTCCAATGTGTTTTACCTGTTATAATTCCTCACAGAGCCGCAGAGAACAGCAGCAACAGTGAGCGAGTATAAATATATAAACCCATCCAGCCGGTGGTGGGTATGGCCAGGAGCCAGGCATCACTGACCCCTGGGCTGAAAGAAGTGTAGCATTGTCTCTCTGGGCCTCCAGCTCTGTGCATTTCAAAATGAACAGGAGTCCGACGGCAGATCCCTTCTGGATTATTTACTTTTGCCAGGCTATATGCCACATATACGTCAGATTTACTACACCTTCTATTTTTCCTAAAGGAAGGGGGTCTTTTTTGGCCAATAATGAACTCTACAGAAAATTTTACTATGTTTTTGTAGCTGCTGGGCTTGTATTTATAAGCAGAAACGAGAAAACCTGACATTTTGAAGATGAACAATGGCGTGTGACAAGTTATAAGATATATAGTACCAAAGAGGCTACTGACATTTCACAAACATTGTAAACAATTTTAAAATAAATAAATAATAGAAACCACCAATAATAATTTAACGTGAAAATAAGCCCTCTTTTCCTGTTTAATAAATTCAGCGATTACAATTGCTTATTATGCGACGCTCTGCAATATTTGTTTCTGATTGGTCAATCGCGGCATTTAACGGTCGGATGTTTCCTCATTTGCATAGCATCGCTGTATATCAGTCCGCTCATTGGTGGAACAGAAACCCGCGCTACTCATGCCTTGTATTAACATGAAATGGGAGGGGCTACTAATAACGGACTCGCACTGTGTTTCCCGCAAACGCGACTGTGGCGCCACTGTCAGAAAGCCTATTTTAGGAACTAGGAACTAAAGTTCATTTCATGTTTCCTAGAGGGACGATTATTAGTGTTACCTGCCAGTGAAGACCGCTGTCTGTCTTTGTTTATGCTGCTGCTATGTTTTCTGTAATGTGTTCATATAATACAAGTAAGTCTGAACACTATTGTATGCAGTTATTATATATTATGCATGCTATTGCGATTTCTGATGTTTATATTGTTCGTGGTGTTCGAATGGATCGGTTATTTGCGGCCGCGATCTGCCGCGATGGTTCTGCTGAGTCATTATTATATTGTCAGTACTACATGTAGCCGTCACGAACTGTTTACTTATGTAAAACGCATTTCCAGCCGAGCTGCGGCCTTGTTTCAGAGTGACTCACCCAAGTCCCATGGTAAACCTACAACATCTACCCGTCCAAAGGAGCGATCTACACCTGTTCTGTTCACCAGTGAGAGAGGCATAAAGGGCCCTGATGCTGCAGCACAGAAATCTAGCTCAAAGCCCAGGCCATACTGTCCTCAGTGTGATAGCAGGGACCATTACCTCAATGCCTGTGACCAGTTTAAGAAACTAACTACAGCTCAAATTATCACTTGGATTAAAGAGGGAAAGCGCTGCTGGAGGTGTGGCCGAACACATGCAGTGGAGGTCTGCAACCTCGAGCGTCCATGTGGTGTCTGTAAAGAGTTACACCTTACAGTTCTGCACGATTCTGTTAATGACACTTCCAGGGCTGTTCTCATACAAGCTGGTATTACTCAGCCCGTTATTGTTGACCATATTGTCACTTTGAGTACAGATATTTCTGTTAAATATATTTGGGTGATATATGCATATTTGCTGATTAACACTATTGGTGCATGCTATTATATGATGTCAGTAGATGTTAATGTAATTTATAAATCTGTTAATAGTGAGTAATTTGTAATTATTTCCCTTGTTTCTTTGTAGACCACATCTCATTTCATACCAGAGGCAGATGCATATATTGGAGTAAAATAAATGTCTTAATCTAAAGACTTCTCCTGCTCTCCTGATTCTCTGACCGGAATCTGGTCCATATTTGGCCGCCTCAACCAGTTGTAATTTAAATGTAGTAAGGTTTGCTACAGCCACCATTACATCTCAGTTATAGATTGTGGTGAAAGCAACCACGATAATATACAGGTAAGTTTTTTTTTTAATAATTTCTAAAGACAATTTGAGCGTAAAAATAAATAGCAGTATAAAAACAACTGCCTTTTGAGGGAACACCAAATCAGAGAGCACAAAATGTTAGCAAACACGAACATTGTCAAATAAAACATAAAAGTATCCAACATAATATAGGCTGTAACATAAAATGCAGTTCACCCAACTAAAAGATTCATCTTAGTGAATCCAACTCTGCATCATTGAACACTATTGTGTATTTTAAGGTAGTGGTAAATCGAAATGTCTATCAATGAGAGTGCAAAACAACTGACAGGAATTTTGCGGAATGTGACAAGCTATGAGCCATCTTAACACAAAATGACGGCCAAATTAATTATTGAGGAGATGCCATTGCCAACAATACAGCTTAAATAGCTCAAAACAGTAATGTGACAACAGACCTAAAATCATGCCCAAAGGAATAACGGTGCTAAATATGTTGGAACAACTTGACATCATTTAGAGCCCAATCTTGCATAAGCTGATAGGAATCAGGCCAGATGGAAACCCACAAAATAACAACTTACATTTGAGGTAAAAGGAACACAACATGATATAGAGTAGCAAGAGGTTTTTTTATCCTACCATTGCAGTTTAGGAACACAAGGGTAGGATGGAAGCTTTGTTACCATCATGATCAGTGGTTTAAGTAACTGTTATAACACAAATAAAGAGCTGACTGTGCAACTACAGATTGGCCACTCACATCCACCTAATCAGTGCAAAATGTTATATAATAATAATATGTAATGTGAGCAAGAGTTAATTATATTAATTAGGCTTGTTTTTTAATACATTATATACAATTACATATCATTTTATTATGTAACAATCTAGCATTAGAATATGATTATTCAACAGTGCATTTTTTCTCAGTTTCTTCACCTTGATCTGGCACTAGCTGTTTCCATTCAAAGTTGTGAATTTAACTTATGCACAAAATTGGAATATCTCAAATAAAGCACCATTTCTATCCAATGAGTCACAAAGAGAACAAAATTGTCACTTCCTGATAAACTGGCACTAAATATCACTAAGAAAAGTAGGAGAAGCCACTGAATATAATAACCTTCATATATAATAAATTACTTGCGCCTCAGAGCGAGCAGACGAAACAAATGCGGTCATTGCTTTCGGAGGTGGATGCTGCTGTTTGGGAATGCAGTCATGTAAGACTGTTCTGGAAGGCAATAATACAGAAATATTTTGGGGATAGACTTTGCTCAGGCATTTCAGAATGACTATAACAACATTTCAGATGCTGTGCAATGAGATCGGTCTGCTGGTTAGTCAGGTTATGCCATCCCATAGCACAAAGTCACGTGACTTTTTTGATGTGCATGGAGGAAATTATTCTGTAAATGAGTTTCCATCTCCCATTATTCACATTAACTCTTTTTCGCACAAGTCAAAAATCACCTCAAGCGAGCGTGAAAACTTTTTTGCAAATTAAGGGATGTTCTTTTCTCGAAATTTGTTTCCATCACTCATTTCTGATGTGATACTTCAAAATGCGGATAAAAACAGGGTGACGGAAACATAGCTATTAGTAACTGGTGGTCTAATCATTGAATTCTTGAGATTTCATTTTGAAAGAAAGCTGACTAACTAATTTTGACAATCTCATTTGCAGTCATGGCTGTGGCTAAATAAATGGTCAACATTAAATTCATGGCTACTGCAGTGCTGGACCGACAGTAAAGTGCCCAATAGAACATGGCTAAAGTAAACAACGATTGCAAACCAAATAAGATCAAAAGTGTTTGACAACCACTTCGGGCTGATATGGCCTTTTCGGTATGTAAAACTAAAGTTTACATGAGGATTGATTTCATTCCTACATAAACACAATATTATTGACATAGTACTTCTCGATTAAAATATGCTAACAGGATATGCAAACATTAAATGTACCATGCTGATGTTTTTCAGTAGAATGCAAATGTAATCAAAATAGAATCCATTTTATCATATTTATACTTTAGGTAGTAATATCTAAAAAATATATTTAAAAAAATAGCAATGCAGCATTCAATAACCAAAAAGCAGATTAATATTACAAATATTTCATAGGAATTTGGACAAATGCAAACAAAAATTCGAAAGTTCAATAAAGCCAGCTTTTTTAAAATGCAAAAATTGAAAAGAAAAAAAAAAAGAAACATAACAGGCTTGCAGATGCTGTAGTGGTATCTCACATTTAAATTTGTAGGGGAACAAAAAAATATATCCTAACAGATTTGAGACTTTAGTCTTTGCAACTTTACAGATCTTCTTTATGCACCAAGAGCTTGTAACACTCCAAAGAGAAAGGAAAAATTGAAATCGCATCATATGACCCCTTTAAAGGAAAAAAGGGTTAACTTACAGTGAGAATTGCAATGAGCGCCCCCTGGAGGAGCCCCACCAGCACATCGCTCCAGTGGTGTTTATAATCGGACACACGAGTGTAACCTACATACACAGCAAAGGCCACCAGGAAGAACTGGATAGTGGGCCTCAGGAGACGAGCCCATTTTGCATTCAATCTGGCCTGAACATAGAACTGTGAGAGAAAAGAGGAAGAGGTGACTTTCATTAGAGGAATTATAATGATTTAATTTGTTGAGAAGATTAGAAAATTGAAAGAAAAGAAAAAACAACACTAACAGCTTTCATTTTCTTTAGTCTTTGGGAAATAGCAAATGCTAACAGTTTAGCATTACCTCAGAAGGCTCTCTAAAAAGCATTTAAGATTTGTATGTTTGCTTTGTAATTAATCAGGAAACCATTTTGTACTAAGAATGATGCAGAACCTGTCTCGGCTGATTTCAGAGATTACTTTTTATTGTTTTGTTCTCTGACAGTTGCATTAAATTAGTTCCAGTTAGTTTGCAAACCCCACAACAAAATGATTATTTTAAAAACCTGCAAAAATTTGAACTCGTACACCATACATTCCTCATTGTTTCTGATTTATGTCATATCTATACCATCATCCATGTGCTTCAAAAAACAGTTGCTCCTTAATAAGCCTCAATGTGTGGTCACATTAGAACATTTCAGCAAAAACTGAATAGGCAAAAAGGTCCACTGTCAAATGTAGCTCACAAAAAAGTCACTTTCAAACCAAGCAGCTTTCTGTTGGTCAATGCAGTGAATTTGCATGACCAATTTGAACTATGCAAAATCTTTGTGAGGACATTTTGTGATGAGAATTTATTGAACACCAGTAAATGTCACTGCATTCAATGCCTATATTGACATCAAATACTACTACAGAATTAATGACTATTTTCAAACAGGTTTCCCGAATGCTTTCTCCCTTCTACCATTGGTCACAAAAACAGATAATCCCACCCCCAAACTTTTGTTAAATGTTTAGAGGGTTAGCATTTAGCTGCTATAGCACTCACTGCTAGAAACAGCATGCAGTACATCCCAAAGGAGGAGTGGCCTGAGTAGAAGGACAACCTACAACACACAAATCACAAAGAAATTCACAAAGTGAGTTTCAAAAGAAATTCACTGAAATCAAGCCATTAAAAAGATTTATGATAAGAAGCATACCGGGCTTCAGTTACATCACGTGGGTCGCCAGTGCAGTTGATTGAGGCCACGTATCCTTTGCAGACTTTGGGAGCACATACTGTTAAGAAATGTGGGCGTGGTCGCCCAATGGTGTACTTGGCCAAGTCCGTCAGTGATTGGCTGACGGCTCCCCCAAACAGGAAGGCACCCATCACCTTATATATGGCTGACACATATTGATTAAAAGTCGAGTTGGAGTTAATTTTTTTGCTGTACACCAGATATGCTTCAGCCGATGATGTCTAGAGGAACAGAAGAGGGGGAAAAAAAAAAGTTTAGAAATATGCATTTCTGTAGCTTGCAACAAAGATTAAAACAGTTAAGTTAGTTGTAAATATGTCAAACAATTCCATGAGCACATAATGCTGTGTTGTTGTGCATAATAAAACCCTCTGCTGTGCAGAGTCATGAACGGGCACTTTGTTGAGAATCAGCGCGTGACTCATGGGATGATAAGATCATGGAAGGGATGATGGAGATCAATGAATGAGGGACTCACGATGATGATAGTGCAGGTGATGGTGACTACAGCCAGTGTCACGTGGGTGATTGTGTCTGGTTTTACAGGGTAACTAATGCTCTCGTCCTGGCAGTAGATGCCTCGCTCATATGGCTGGGACACAATATTCATTATCACAAAGGGCAGAGAAGCTACAGGAAAGAGAAGATGAGACAATAGATAAACAAATAAATAAATAAAGCAATTTAAAGCGATAATGCTTATTAAATGAGAAGTTATTGTCTTATGTGGAGAATATACAGGGTGAATATCCTAAAGACTGGCTGGGTCATATTTTAAATAAAATAAGATAAAATTGACATGACAAGTAAGCATTTTTTTTCAACCATTTCTAATTACTTTAATTTCAAAACAACAAACAATTGGCTAACTATTTATAATTAACGTAGCTGTATGTGAATGTAAACAGTCTGCAAAGTTGTAAAGCTGAAAGTGCATCATAGATAAAGTTATTGCCTCTCAAAAGAAAGAGTTGACGCTGAACCGCTAAAACGAGTCGTTTAAAATTCCAATCCCATTTCCGTGAAATTCATGTCCCGAGTTACCATATTTGCCTGTTTTGCATGGACATCCCACAAAAACTTGAACCCATATGAATTTACATATGCTATATATACACTACCGGTCAAAAGTTTGGGATCAGTAAGACTTGTAATGTTTTTTAAAGAAGTCTCTTATGCTCATCAAGGCTGCATTTATTTGATCAAAAATACAGAAAAAAACAGTAATCTTGCTAAATGTTATTACAATATTTCTAATAAAAAACCGTTCTGATCCCAAACTTTTGACCGGTAGTGAGTGTGTGTGTGTGTATGTATAAAGCAAATAAATAAATAAAACTGGAGCAGTTCTGTATGCATCATAGATGATTCTATGAAATGCAGCACAGTTTTTCAATTTATTTATTTTTTTTTAATAAATCGCAGAACAACATCTGAATTCTGCCATGGAAGCAGTGACTATTTATAGTACCTCTTTTTCCCAAAGAGTCACATGGAATTTTATCCCACAGTTATGAGGAAGTCACCTGACCACGCCGTCTTAACCCAAAACACGTTGTGAGCCATATCATAAACATGACCGTATACACATCCACAGCCCAGACATCCTTTCCACAATGCCTTGGTCGAACTGATGTGGCTGGAGATGCACATGTCTGAATGTAGCCACAGCGTGATCCTTTAATTAATGGAAAATGCCCTTGGGACATTCAGAAATCTTACAAAATCACTTGGCAACCATGTGATCCTAAGCCACAGCAACTGAAGAGAACAGTAAGAGCAATGCTACTTCCTGTAAATCCATTTTCTGTTGATAAAGTGGGTGTATAAAAACAGTGTTGTAGTAAGTTTGCGTATCTTTACTGCCAGAAAATGTTCTGCCATTTGAATGGGATCTATAGCATTTGTAGATATTTTAGGTATGCTATGAATGCCAAGGACCTGTAGAGATATCAGAAAGATGCTACACCAGCAGGAAAACATGCAGTTAAAAATTTTCAATTTGATTCTGGATCTTCTGGTTGACTCAGTATGTCTAAATATTGATGTCCAGCACACAAATCCAGAACTGCTCCAGTGCCATTTATACCACTGCGGTATTACAATGCACAAGAGGATCTGAGAGACAGACAGTCAGGTCTGTCACAAATGTAACTCTAGGCTCAATATGAAGGAGCTGCTTTCACCCAGGCAGTTTTCATATTTAAAAAAAATTCTTCAATATTATTCTACAAGGGTCTTTAAAAATACACAAGTTTTTAATCTGTACATAAAGAGCTAATTAATAATCACATAATATACTACTAAAAAACATTTCTAATGCCGGGTTCAGACTACACTATATTTTTGTCGGTCACGATAGTCACTGTGTCGGATTACACGATTTTGACTCCTACAATCTTGTCAGACTACACATTGCTTCCCGACCATTCATTGCGTGCAGTCTTTAACGACGCGCGTGATGTCATCAAGGCGGCAGAAATAGCGACTGACTTCCGAAAACAAGAGTGTAAACATTGCTGAAGCGCTTCCGCTATAGTTCACCAGTAGGGATGTAACGATTAACCGCGAGCCGGTTGAAAATCGATTCAAATATGTGACGATTCAAATCGGTTGAGATGCTAAACAAATCGCGATTCG